GGCCAAACGTGAATCAATACCAGTGGGAAGTCTTCCATATTTAAGTTCTATAAAATCATAATTTGACAGTGAAAAATTGTTGAATTGTGATTGATTTTTCTTTTCTTTTTGGACCACTGACAGTAGCTAATTCCTGTTAATTATTATAATCATTTTATTCACAAGGAATAAAATATTTATTATAATAATATTACTGTATTATTAATTCAATCACTTTAATGACAGTAACAGATGTATGATACATGAACATAAATAAAGTAATTGTCAGGTGATTGACTAACCCAAACTACAAACAATTAACAAACATTTCAGGAATGTAAAAAATGTTTTGAAAAACTTGTAAATTAAATAATATAACCGTTGTTGTTCAAAGGACTAGGGTATGTACCAGGGAGGCATTTAGTTCGTACAATACAACCTGTCAGAAAAAAAAACACGCTGACTTTGCACCTAAAGCAATTGTGCCCAAAAGTAATAAAGAATTTACTGTTATAATATTACTTTCATGCATTTACACATGAAAATAATATTCTAGGTCACAAACCTGCTGTCCAAGGGAAGGCCTTCAGTCGCTGGGCAACAAGTTTACTGTCAATCTTCTCAGATGCAATGAGTTCCTTGAGTTGTGATGCAATGACATTAGTTGGGAGGTTGTGCATCGTATTGTAAACAAGATCTTTGAAGATGCTGAATCCATAAAGTTTGTGTAATCGATGAAGAATGCTTAATCCAGTGTATCCACTGGTTCGACTTTTACTTGCCCTGACAGTTTTGCGGTCTTCCTGATTAATATCTGTCATCAGTGGCAAAGCCTCTTCCAACTTTCTTTCCTCCCATGGATATTTGGCATGGTACCTATTATCACCATAGTAGTATGTGCTCCCACCCTCTGGATTTATGGTTCCTGTTGAATTTAAGAGAACAAATTAGACACAGTAGAATTAGCAAGTGATCTGAGCATCTTTTATGTAAAACACAAAGTAAAAATGCTTAGACCTTCCTTAAGTCTTTTACTGTGGTTTTAATTTGCCCATGATGATAGAAGTAGCATTATTCTAATAAATTACTTGCACAGTGACTTAATTTTGACAATATTTTATAATTTGCAATAATTTTTATTCTTCATTATTATGTATGTATTATTCTGTTATTATTCTTCATTATATGCAATTATGTCAAATTTACCTTTCAGGTTATCTCTACGACACGGCAATATCCCATGTTTGATGAACGTTCCAACCTCATGTTGTGCAGGGTAATCACCTGTCCATAATAAAATCAATACGCTAATGGTGATCCTGCCTGCAGGAAGGCAAGGAAATGATGCAGCATCGTCGACTTCAAGACCTGCAAAAACAATCAATGTAATTCAATTTGTATTTACATGTAGAAAAAAGGAGGAAAGTGTTTGTTATTTACACTAGCTAAACATTACCCAACACTGAAACTTGTGGGAATTTCAAACAAGGGCCAAGTTTTGCCTGCTTTACTTAGTTTATATTCATAGACATTTAAATCTGGAAACTCATCATCAACCTTAAATTTTTAACAGTACATGATTCAGTATGTGTCTGACATGACAATGTTCTAAATACATGAATATTAAATTAATAATTTTCTGTTGAATACACAATAACTTTTACTGATCTGTACCCATAGGCCAAATAGTTCTTATGGTTTCATACCATTAATGAAGATCGTTTCAATGTCACTGACAAGGGGATGCAGGAATGGATCCAAGGAACATGGACGACTCTTTAGATAGCTGATAAGAAGGGACAAATCCCACCACATAAACTTGATCAGTTTTGCTTCTTTCAGCCTTAGCCATGTTAGCTATTGTCACTTCTATTACCCCTATAATTAAGAAGATGCTAATCATTGATAAGAAGATAACAGTTTAAATATAAAAAGGTGTTCAACAGCAAGACTTAACTCCTGTCAGTTAACTACAGTCTTAAGTACATTTGTGTTATTGGATACATTAAATTTATTTCTTAGAAGTGAGAAAGGTGTTTGCTTACCACAACTATGTGTTCCAGGGTATCCAAAGGGCTGCCAACCATCCCAGTGGCCAATAAGTGCAATATTGCGGGGATCCCCTCTAGAGTAGCATGGTGTGTGCTTCCACCTTGATCCACATTCATGACATGTAATCACATGCTTCCCTTCTTCTTCTGGAAATTCCTCGATCTCATCACTACTTGTCACATTAGCACAGTACTGACACTTAACAGGTAGCATCCAGCGAGAATCTGGGTCCCAGAACCACTTAAGCTCATTAAATCTTTCACCATCCGAGATTTCTTTCAATATAAAGTTAGGACCTTCCCCTACTAACCAGTGTTCTTTCTCACCCCAGTGGGCCATCATTTTCTCACACACACCACGATTACTACACCAAAGTTGAACTTTGTCAGAAATACCTAGGTAGTAGAATTTTATTGTGCCTTTCTTTCCACAGTGTCTGCATTTGTCTTCACCATTTTCCATGACATCCCATTGTGTGTAATGGCTCTCATCCAAACAGATGTAAAGTTCTCTGGGAGATTTATATCCACAATTGTGGAGAACTGTTTGTGTTTCTTGCCAATTCCCTGGCCATTTCTCTTCTAAGTGACTGTCCTTTCTACAGTACAACTCTTTGGCAAATTGCAGGACGTCTTCAGAATCTGATATTGACCCATTCATTTGATCCACTAAATTCAATGCTTTTAGTATAGCAATTGTTATTTGTATGTCATCAGGGTCAATTTCCAAATCATCTGAGGTGTTCTCTGGGTGGTGGATTCTGTCATTTCAGCTAAACTTGAGGTACTTGAAGCATATGCACCAGTCTGGTTGCCAGGTAGGGCACTATAATTGCAGTCATAGACATCATCCACGTGCACAGTAATGGTGACGTTGTCCCCGGGAGTCAAAGGGGGTGAAAATTCATCAATGCCTGAGTCGTTGTGTGAATCACTGGGTTCTTCATTTCTGTTTGAAACAAAGGAATACTTGTGATCAGGTGCAGCCTCAAGAGAATTCAAATGATTGTGGATATTGGCCATTTATTTGTATATCAAAAGCAGTCATGAATACATGTTAAAATGATGAGCCTATACTTTTGTGATTACCTGGGTAGCCCAAGATCAGCAATGGCTTGTTGTTGTTGCCAATGAGAATATTCCAGGGAACGTGCACCTGCAGCACCATTGCAGCTGGAACAAGGGCAATGTACGTGTCTAGATTTTAACTGTGAACAGTTACAGCAGACAGTATCATCTCTTGACCAAACATAAGGTTCAAATCTTCGTCTTTTAGTTTCCATAATATTGGGCAGCTGGCTCACGACGGGTAAAAAACAGATCAGTAACGCCGAATTTCCCGCGCGAAGATATCCTGCCGATGCCGATCTTTCACCATAATTTCAAAAAGCCCTCCAAAGGAAACGTCAATCCAAAACGCCGAATTTCCCGCGCGAAGATAACCTGCACCAATCACACCTCAGCTTTTTTTTTATCAACCAATCACGTTGCGGAATGACGGTGAAGATCCCGTGTTTAATCCCAGCGTTGTTCATTCCGCCCATGAATTGTGCAAGTGAGGACGTGATGGTTTTGAATTGGTCTTCTTTATCCTTCGTTTTGTTGTTTATTGACAACCATGGGTGAAAATGAAACGTCCAGTTCCGTACAAGAAATGAATATCCAAGAAGTGAAGGATTTTATTGCAAAAGAATTCCAATTAGAAATTGCCGAGAAGTTCGAAGGTAAGCTTGTGTCGCATTGTGTTTTTCGCGCCATTTTACGCTCCGTATGATGGTCCGTTTTTTCTTTCCGATAACCTACTAGTATTTGAAAAAAGGCCTGAAACTTTTCAATTCAGCTTTGGGTTCATTATTGTGCACTTTGAATTAACTCATATTAAACGTGATCGAGTTTTTATCGCTCTACCTTGGGGGAAAACTGGTCATTCACTGAAAGTTTTGGCGCGAAAGAAAGAAACTTCATTTTTGAATAAAGGTGAGATATTAAGTGCTGTTAAGTTATTAAGATTTAATTTGACCTTACTTTAGTTATCTTTGCAACTTTTCTATAGTCTGTTAGAAGGGCTAGAAATCGTTCATATTACAATTCAAAGATGGCGGCCGCGATCTTAGATCGATCAACATTCGATTCGTTCCTTCCCGTTCGGTTCATAGTTGGTGTGTTTTGTTATTGAAAAAAGTTTAGGTTCACCTGTACTATGTACAATAATTTCCTCTTCTTGTTCTTTTTTCTGCAAACAGCGCAAAAAATTGACGGCAAATCCTTATTATTGCTATCAAAGAAAGCAACAAGAGAACAGTACGAAGCCTGCGGGCTGATGACAGTTGCTGACCAACTTAAGGTGGCTCCCTAGAGTATTTACTAATAACCCTAGCTATCTAGCATACGATACAAAAGGAAATCTAGTTACTTTGTCTTTGCGATTGGGTTCACGAAATTCACCGATAAGTTTACCCATGTAAAAAGGCTCCTTTATGAAGTTTCATTTTCTGGATTCAGGCCGTTGCCATGGCAACATCGAATCCTTAAACAGGCAATAATTTTGTCATTTTTTCTTAATATTTCTTATTTCCCTTGGTGAAATGTCTTTAAACTTTGCCACTTAATGTTAACGATATTGCTTAAGATTTTAAAGTGGAAAAAACATGGGGTCGTTAAGACGGTTTCGCCAATATTTTGAAATTTCTAACTTTTCTTAATAGGGGAGTTTAGCTCTTACAGATTTTAACGAGAAAAGGACAGTACAAAGGTACTGCAACTGTTAAGAAATTTACCGAAGGAAACGCAAGAAATTCACGGTTAATTAACTGCGCTGACGTCACAAAAATCTGAAAAACACGCATGGTTTGAAGTCGTATGAGCAAAATACGCGCGTGAGCCATCACGCTCGCATGCGCATAACGCACATAGCTGAAAACATGTGATTTCTTCGAAAAGCACGAAAGCCATTGTTAAAGCTGTTTATCAGTATTATTACAGTGATATCTCGGCTGTTGAAAGAGGAGAGATAGCGGATTCAATTCTATACCAAACACTGGATGTTTTCTTCGAAATGCTTAACCATTGTAGCCAAAATTCGAGCCGTGGTGGTCACTACTCTCGCGGATGGCGATCATCGGAGATGAACGGGTGGTTTTGCAAGGATCACGATATTAAGGCCTTCATTTCTTAATCTCCTGTACCGACTGTTTGCAGATCTTCAAATGCCAGCCCACTTCCGGATACTTTTTCAACCTTGTTCCTCGTTAGGGATAATTTCGATGGCGAAGTTTTTCTTTAAAAGCCTGCTGTAAAAGATGGCGCCGATCTAAAAAAAGTACATCACGTCCTCAGCTGCACGTACAAGACTGTAGTTCTCGTTGGATAACCTACTATTGCTTTCGTCAAGGGTCAATCTGTGACTCAAAAATTATTTTTCGTTGTGCAACAACATTTTGTAGTGCACCTTGTGCGTTAAAGAACTTTTGAAAACGAAAACGTACGAGGATGTTGGTTTGTCGATGGGAAGGTTCCTTCGATCAGGATGCAAGTTAAGTAGGAAACCTTTCTTCTGATAAGTTTTTTAAACAATGTGATAGAGTCGGCAAAACAAAAAAAAAATTACACTTGCTGTAATCGTGCCTTAAAGCCACTTCTTGAATTTCTTAATCAACTCAAATCTAAGAGAAATGAAGTGACCGAGGAGCGCCGCCAGTGAAGACATTCTTCAGTGGTTGTTCAGGACTTGGCTCGATCTGTCAGATCTTTCCACTGACCGTGAACCAAAGGCCACAAACAGTAACATTGCTACCTTTAGGGTTAGTGTACTTATTTCTTTGTTTTCTTTTTAAAGTTTTCATTCACCATTTACTTCGACTATTTTAAGCTTGTCTACTTTTGAAGCGAAAAAACTGATGTCTTTGGAAAATTTCTGCTTCGCTTTTACATACAATATACTCTTATGGAGATCGATAGTGACTTGTAACCGGTGTAACGTTGTCTCCCCTCATAAATGTTTGACCTACATTGATCAAACTTTTTGCGCGATGAGCTTCAACAGAAAGTTAATAAAGTTTTTGGGGGGAAATATCTTGAAACTGAGAGGCCGTGTTTGTTTTATTTTTGTGTGGACGTCGCGCGGTTTTTAAAGCTCGCGCCATACTTGTGCTCAGGCTGCGCACGGCCAATTTACTCTAGGAAGCCACCTTAAACTAACCACCCTGGTCAGCGCAAGCGCCGATGAAGCGTTGAGTTGCGTGATCACCGCAGTTAAGACAAAAAAGCCTTCGAAGGCCCAGCTGAATCAAATCAGCGATATGAATAGAAGAATTTACGAGTGCATCCACGATACGACCAGGCAGAGGCGGCCCAAGCGATCTAACCGATTTCGATGAAACTTGGCCAGTTTGAAGGGGTCCACCCAAAACTACTTCACTCCAAGTTTAAGGAAATTTGGTCGAAACCGGGGGGAGTTGACACCCCCCTTGTTTTCTTTTTTAAAAAATGACCAAAAAACACCTAAAAATTGGTCAAAAGTATTAAAGCTCTACTGCTAAAAGAATTCCATCAAATCTTTTCATATTTTCAGTGAATGTTATCCTACCCAAGGACAATTTATTGTAACTGTTTCGTTCTTCTACGACAAGTTCCTATGACACAAGTCATCTCAGCCAAGACCCCCCCTCTCACCCAATAGTGAAAACTGTTGAAATATCCAAAGTTTAGGCCAAAATATCTCCAATGCCGGAGCATGCTTCAGAAAACGGAGCATACCGTCTAGAAGACGGGACTTCATACTAACAATATCTACAAAAAAATCTTTGGGCACTCATTTAATTATTCCACAGGAAGACTGCAAACACGTCGTCCACCACAGGGTACCAATGTCAATTTTGTTTTCCTTATAACGCGCTAATTCGGTAATTATCGCACAACAACGGACAGACAATGCCACAAAATGATTACACGCCATACACTTTAATGAAATAGAACCATTTCTATCTAATTGCCTAAATAAAAAAAGGGCCCACCACAGGGTACCCACGTCAATCTTTTTTTTTCCTTTCACTATAGTGCGCTAATTCGGTAATAACAGCCAAACGCTTCTTTTTTTCTAATCCCTGGAAATTACTTCCTGGCAAGCGCATACATCTTTGTAATTTGATAGCTTGATTCGATTTTGCATAACTACAAACAGAACAAACGTTCGCTTTAAAAATACAAATTGACGCGAACGAATTGGGTTGTTTTGTTTTCTTCTTTAAAAACGGAGTTTTTACATGTATAAAGGTTTGGCGATCGTAAATGTTGAATTCGGGCTTCGGATATGTAATAGACCTAACAGCCCAGTGTTGAGATTCACACGCTTTGTATAAATAGACCGTTGATTGGAAAAAGGGTGCACGCGCATGGATATTTCGAGGTGTTCCTCACATGTGCCGATCGGATGTAGCAGGGCAGGAAACTTGGGCCGTCCGAACGTCTGGGACGGGTAACTTTTCCGTTCGGACAAGGAAAAACGTGATCCCAGTTGTCCGAATGGACGACTGAGTTGTAGAGGTCCAACTTAAAAAACGTCAAGAAACTATACTTACCTGTTTTCTTTGGATATATAATAAAATATTCTTTCCGTAATTAATAACCTAAGTGCTCTAAAAATAAGTAGCTCTTACAGAAAGTAAAATAAAATATCATTTTGTTTACGTTGTGTGTTTGATTTAAATGCGTGCGGGTGCCTCCATTAAATTCCATGTGAGTCCTGCTGTACAACATAATAGCAGGCTCACGATATCGCACGTGCTTGTCAGTCACGTTTCAGCGAGTTTCAGCGCTTTTCTTCAAGCGTCATGTCTTTGTCTCAGTCGACACTTTATACTAGCTTTTTAAAGAGGTCAGCACCGGAAACACATGATGCAGATGATGGTACTAGCAATGTTGTACATTCCAAAAAGAAGAAAAGCCAGGATAACAAGACATTCAAGCATTGCAAAGGGGAAAAATGACAGTGCTAGTGGAGCAACAGAAATTGTAGTAGAAGGAGAGGAAGAGGAAGAAGAAATTCTACCGCCACTTCCCGAACTGCCTGAATAAACACAATGACTAAAACAAATGTATCAAAAGATATGTTTTTTCAATTTGTGGAGTTCTGTTAGTTTTAATTCTACTAGCTAAAATGAAATATGAAGTTTATATATTACCCTTTAGTATTGTTGTGGTTGTCTATTTTTGGACGAGTAGTTTTGTGGTTCGGACAAGCAAAATACACATTGTACTTGTCCCAAGGGACAAGTAAATTGAAAAGAAAGTTTCTTGCCCTGATGTAGAGGTGAAAAGGTCTCTCGTTAAAAACGATGTCGCAGTTTTCGTGCTCTTTTGCCGTGCACTGTACCAGTGAGTGTGACGTATCAACTAGATACCCTGGTCGTACACAGTTTTTTCCTTTGAGTTCTTGTGTCAGTGATGTAAGGGCGAACTTGAGAGAATTGCAAACAACACAATCATGTGTAGCCTCTGAGAGAGAGCTGATACTTGCTCGTGTCGGTTTGTTTGACGAGGAGGATAAGGATATGGTTATTTGCCCAAAGCATCGCGTTTTCGTTGGAGCAAAGTATTGTCCTTCAAGAAAATGCCAGCATCCACTTCATGGTCGCCGTAAGGGTAAAGTGTCCAGAGGGGTGAACTTGAAAATGTCGAAAGAGATAAAGGAAACGTGGGACGTTTTGGTTCCCGTAGGCTCAGGTAAGCGGGTTCACTGAAGGTAAATACGGTACTTATACATGCTTTGGTTCCTTGATGATAAGCCTCATGTAAGGGAATCAAGACAGGATTCCAATCACTGTATTCCAGTATTTGTCAGGGGACTTGGGTTCTTTTTCAATCATTAGTGGGATTCCGGATTCCACTGGCAAAATTTTCTAGGATTCCGGAATCTGTTACATGGGGCAAATGATTGACTAATACACAAGTTTAGTCAATTGTTTTATTAATATATACACAAGTGGAAAGGAGTTTTTTTTTCTTTCTGTTTTTTTGGCGGGGGTGGGGGGAAGGATGGAAGATCTTGTAAGAAATTAATTATGAGTTATAGGGTATGATATTTATTTCGCAAAAGAATAACAAACAAACAAACAAATAAGCGATTGTGTGGTGAATTTTGATCTACAAGAGTTTTAATCTATTTTTAAATTTACCAGGTCAATTTGACCTTCCGTTGTTTTCCTTTTTGTATCTTAGCTAGTTACGTTCTAAAGGTAGCCCATAGTTATAGGTTCCTGCTTCTAATCGGTCATTTTTCTCCAGGAGGGGCGGGGGATAGGGCAATTCTCTCAAAAGCTACAGTGATTATACAGATTTTTTTTTGGCGAAACCTCAGGGCCAGGCCTTTTAATATAGAGCCCGGTGTCAATTAAGAATGAGTGTTCTAGAATGGGGCGTGAAAATAAGCGCCTCACTGAAAAATTATCAGATTCTTGTTTAAAATCTGCACTGGAATTGCCGCTAATTATACATTTACTGATGGCCTACGCTGGCCTACCACATCGCACGGACTTCTAGTATTTTCTACAGCACTAATCACTAATACTTCCAACAGGGGCCCTCTTTTGACTAGGAATGGCGGCACAAACCTATTTAGAATCTAGCTTGGTAAAATCCCTCCCTCTAGGAAAGATTAGAATGCCTAAATGGATGCAGGCAAGCCGTTTATTGCTTGGGAAAAGTGCCAAACAGTTTGTTCTATTCAGCCTGTTACCACAAACTAACAAACCATAATGCTACCAAAACTCATTTTAGGTTTATTCTTGTACGCAGGGGTTTGTAGACAATGCCGTGGTGACCATCTAAGAACTCTAGGTTCTACTGACGCGGATTCCGAAGTACAAGATCCCGGACTGGCGTCCACGTCTCACCCAGAGCCTCAGATTCACGAACCTTCATGTTCTACGGAGTCCGCAGAGGAAATAGTAGAGCCACCACAGTTACTACCGCCTGCTACAGAAGAATCAGAACAATTGTCTGCTACCCCTGTCCTTCACGTAAGATTCCAAAAAGATCTCATTAGTGAGGTAAGTTCTTCTTCGGCAGTGTGTGAATGAGTTTACTGATTTCAAAGGGGCGGGACGTTTGCGTCACTTGCTTTGTAATTGTTGTCATAATCCACTGATCTTTAGAACAAATCAGGAAAGGAGGGAGAGGGGTCGTTGTTGCTTGATGCGTTGGGCGTAATGTTAGTTCTCACACTAATTTGCATAGACTTTGAATAAAATCGGAATAATTCGTTAAAATTGTTTGTTATACTGAGAGTCACTATATGGTTGAGTCATAAAATTTTCTCCTTTCAAAGAATGCCTGTCTTCGAGTATGCTTTGGGGTCGTGGTTTCGAATGTTGCTCACTCTTATTTATCGAACTTCCTTTGAAGCATAAAGCGCGAAATTTAATAAAATATAATCATCAATAACTCGTAACAATTACTATTCAAAGCTCATTCTACTCCTGTTATTAATCTTAGAGAGATATGAGCAGATTCATATAGCGTTCATAAACAAAGCCAACCGGCGCAAAGCATACCGGCCAAGAGGAATTCTTTCATGTAAAACTTGTGCACGCTGACTATACGGTAATGGTGCCAAACTGATGGAATAATTAGATATTTCCTAGATACAGCTTTTTTCTCTTCCAGCATAGCGATCGTGACTCAGACCCCAGCGATCGCCATTCAGACGCTTTGTCGCGGACGTCTTCTGGATCCCAGGAGTCTCTTGGCGCAGCAGAGACATCGGCAGAATGGCAGCCCACCCCTCAAATACAGCACCGCCCTTATTACCTTAATAATTTCCTCAGAATGGCTACTGAAGGCAGGGTCAGCCCAGTGAGGTCACAGTGCCAATGTGACGTTCTTACTTTGTCATCCAGAACCCAGCGCTACTACCGGAAAAAAGCGGAGCAGGCTATCGAAGGCGTGCTTGAATCCATTGCCCCAGGCAACGCCTCCTGGCTCTACCACCAAGTCATGCAACGGCGGATTCGTTTACAAGCAGCTGAGGGTATAGTCGAAGACACACTGGTTGCCAGACTGGTGATTCTGTATGAGGAAGCCGCCAATTGGTACACGAGACAACAGATCCTGTCGCTTTTCGTAAACGACTACTCGAAGAGCGAGCTATTGGCTTTGATTCCGGGTCTCTCAAAATGAAGAATCGACGAGGCAAGGAAGCACGCTTTCCAAAGTAAGCCCGGGCAACCCATTGACCCACCAAGGATCACCAGATGCCGTTTGGATGCTGTGAAAGTTGACCACTTTCTTGACTTCTTGTCCAGTCCATCAGTTCTTCAAGATGTGGCATATGGCACCAGAACTCTTAAACTGGAGAGTGGAGAGAGCTTAGAGATCCCGAACATGGTGTGCACACTTATATCCTCCCACCTAGTGCGCATGTACCTGAACTTTTGTGTAGAGTCCAGCATATTTTGAGCCTCTCGGACGCTCCACGCTCTTCAATATAATCAAGGTACGGATTATAAAACGTTCGTAAAGGACGAATTTTGATCAGGGTTAATTGTAGTTGTAGCAGTGGTGTAGTAGTAGTAATGGTTTGCATTTAGAAATTAGTTTGAAACCAAAGCATTTTGTTTCTCTTCAGGTTTTATGGGGCTTCACTAAAGAAATCGTTAGCTGGTCTTGATAGCACTCGGACAGATGGGGTACAGGCGCTCGCCACTCTTGAAGACATCACTCATCAACTCAAACAAGCTGGTGAGATACAAACACCTTCCATTATTACTGTAGGTGCATGAGTTGTCACAACTTTTAATAAGCTGACGGAGTATCAATATTTATTATTGTGTGTATTTTTTCTATCACAGGACTGGATAGCACAATGGCCGATAACATTCCAATGCGACTCAAAGCAGGTCGGCAGTATCTGAAGACGGATTTCAAGATCCACACAGCCAGCGACTCCCCGTGCGCAGATCACTGCAGAGTGTTCGCCCTCAGTAGGACAGAGAAAGAGTACAACGGTCAGTACCAACATCAGCATACCATAACCTGTGACCAGTGCGAAGACCTAAAGAATGCTGTCTCAGATCTGCAACTAGCATTGGATTCAGGTGAAGTACATCTAAGGTAAGAACATCTTTGTGACAGAAAAGCAGAGTTTAGCATTTATTGTCAACTAACAACCTAATCCCCAGGGCGCTTTATATGAGTTTCAGTTAGAAATTTTAAATTGCTTTGTGTGGTTCTAAACCTAATGAACATATGTTATAAATGAAACGCAGTTTACGAAAAAAGTGAGAGAGTCATTATTATTTTTTGATAAAACGGCTTAAAAGAAAAATTTCTGACGCTATCGCGCCGTGATGTTGACAAGCTCTACTCTTTCCCTTTTTAGTCCTGATAAGTGAGAGGAGTTACAGCATGATTTGAGTTGCGCTGCGCCGAGCATAGAAGATTGGAAGTCGCACGTTCTCCGTTCAGTTCACCAGGATGCGGCCAAGAGCGAAATTGTTGATAGCCTGAAACCATCACAGGTTCTGCTAATAATAGACCGGGCGATGAAGTTTATTCTCACGTGCTTTCGCGAAACGCAGCGCGACTGGTTTGGAAAGAAGGGGAAGTCCTGGCATTTCTCGGTGGCCATCACTAAAGCAGAAGATGGAACAATTGCGGTAGACATCATGTGCCTACTCTTCTGTCTTTATCGCTCACTGATCACTATAAACTAGTTTCTCGTGAGCGCGGTCTTTGTTGCGCTAACCGATTGCAAAATTGGATAACTGATAAGAATGCCAGGCCGAGAAAAGACTTCCCGGGTGTTATCTCTGTTTCAAGTCAAAATGCGCAGGTTAATACTCCATTAGCCCTTGACTGTGACCAGGTCCCTTGGCGCACTATTCATGATAAAAAATGCTTTACTATTATGATTTTCAGACACGTACATATATCCACTTATTTGATGAATGCAATCGAAACTGGTTCAGCATTGCCTCCATCATCGAAGATTCACTAACCACCATGAAGCGACAGAAACCTAGACTGAATGAAGCTTTCCTAAGATCTGACAATGCAGGCTGTTATCACTGCGCATTTCTTCTTCTCAGTCTTCCAAGCCTTGGACAGCGGGTTGGTGTCCACATAGCTCGTTATGACTTCAGTGAGGCCCAAGCTGGGAAAGACATGTGACCGCCGAGCCGCCGTCTTGAAGAGCCACATTAGGCGCTACATTAATGAAGGCAATGACTTCAAGACAGCAATGACATGAAAGCTGCTATTGACTCGCATGGGGGCGTCAAAGGCTGCTACTCATTGGTGTGCACGGTTGACGAAAGGTCCCAAAACATGACCAAGCACTCACTGAGTGGCATACAGTCTTTGAACAACTTCGTGTTCACTGAAAGTGAAGAAATGATCGCTTGGCGGGCCTACAATGTCGGACCCGGAAAGGTCTTTTCCGCGGCATCACTAGCGCGTCTCGGTACCCCTCAAGGCCCGACAAACTTACAAGTTCTCCAGGCATTCAGTAGTCCTGACATACTGACTGGTGTCTTCCGTGCATCTTCCAGCACGCAAGAACAGCAGCCCGCAGCACCTTCAATGGACCCTATAGCCGTAGAACGGATTCAGCTTGAAGAAGAAGAGCGTGTGGCCTTTGGCTGCCCAGAGGAGGGTTGTATAAAAGTTTACCAAAGTCACAGCAGCCTTCAGCGTCACCTCGATGCCGGGAAACACCTTTTCGCGTTAGAGAGAGAGTCTACATACGACAAGATAAAGAAAAAGTGGACAGAGACCTGCAAGTCAATTTCTGGTAGCTACGTGGAAGCAGCTGGGCCGCCCACATCTGCATCCGCCTCAGTTTCCCATAGCCAGTCGGAAGATCCGCTGCCAACAGCTGACATGGGCTGGGCATTAAAAAAGACCAAGAAGTCTGTTCATTTCACCACTAAAGTGCGCCAATTTTTGTGTGAAGTCTTCCTTCAAGGAGAGGACACCGGGAATAAAGCAGCGGCTGAGGATGTAGCAGCACGAATGAGGTCCCTGCGAACCGCTGAGGGAACGAAGGTATTTACCAAAGACGAGTGGCTGACATCTACCCAGATCTCCGGATATTTCAGAAGAATGGCCGCATTAAACAGGAGTGGGGGTCTTCATAGAAGAGAGGAGGTGAGGCCAGCGCCAACAGAACCGGTACCCGAGGGAGGAGAAAGTGAAGATGAGGAGGAAGACCCCTATGAGGCTGAAGCTCCCCTTATCAGAACACGGCTTCAAATCAGGAGGGAGCTAGAACTGTAACTTTACTTTCGATGAGTGTTTGTCTGTTTGATTATATCTATTTTGACTTTTGTCTTTGATAGTTCTTACAAAGGACAGTTCTTTAGGGCACAAGTCACAAAAACACGCAGTTGATTTTGTTTTCAGTATAGCAAGGTCTTTCTGATAAAGTTTTCTGCATCAAGATGCAATGTGGCGTGCAAGTTTCAAGCAAATGTATTATTCCTTTATTAGATGAACAAAAGTCAGTTTCATTATACGATCATTCTAACCTTCAAATACAGACAATGTAAGCATTTTGATAGAGTTCCGTGACTCTCGTGTTTCACTTAGCGATGAGTAAGTTCCGTCACGAAGTTCACTTATACAATAATAGAGGTCATCATTAAGCCGTCAATTGTCATTTTCATGGCTTAAGACAAACAAAAGCTTTTGGAATGGTTCAATTTCATTAAATTTTATAGTGTGTAACCATTTTGCTGCATTTTCTACCTGTTGCTATGTCTTTATTACCGAATTAGCGAGTTATGATGAAAAAAAAATGAAGTGGGTATCCTGTGGTGGGCCAAGTTTTTTTTATTGTAGCTATTAGATAGAAATGGTTCTATTTCATCAAAGTGTATGGTGTGCAACCATTTTGTGGCATTATTTGTCTGTTGCTGTGCCATAATTACCGAAGTAGCGCGTTATAATGGAAAAAATTGACACAGGTACCCTG